ATGCAGAAAAAAAGAAGTGTTATGTACAAAATAATCTTATTAAAAATGCGATTAATTTTTGGGATTAATGAAATGAGAATAAAGAAAAAATTTTCTAGATTTTAAACCTCATTTTCATTGTCGAAAATATAAAACAATATTAATCCCGATATGGTAACTAAAATAAAATTGAATAATTAATGTATTATTCATAGGAGACTTCAGTTAACTTCGAACGTCATATCGAACGTTCACTATCCATCGATTTGAACACAGACCCTGCCGTACTCTGATTCCACCTCACAATAATGATAATAATAATAATAAAAATAGTTTCGTGGTCCTTTACCGATTATGCATTATCAAAAAAGTCATTGAGCAGTCTTCGGTATGCGTTAACTTAAATTCGAAAACTTCGCGCACATCTCGTTGTTCTTTTGATTGAGTCTGTAGGATCTGCCGGACGAGTGGATCTTCGAACGGCGCGTTTTCCTCAGCTTATGCCGGCTACCGGGTATTCTCTCGATTTTGTAGACCTGATGCCTCACCGTGGTGGCCGGCTGGCTCAATCTCATGCACAACGCCACAGGCCCGCTAAAGTCCACGTTCGTGGACAGCTGGAGCTTCGGCTCCATCGCCATCGTGAATTCCGTCTTGCTCTGTACGAAACTCGTGTGCACTCTGGTGCCGCCGTGGACCATCACGCCGGCATCCATCTCAACGAGAGAGCGCGCGTTCCTCGACCACAGGCTCAGCTGGATTTCACCGGCCAGCTCGAAGCTCACGGCGCCCTGAATATCGATCTCGGCGACAAAACCGGATCCCAATGGCACGTATTCGTTATGACTGTACAAAGAAGCGAGAGCTTGGAAGGCAGGGGTCCTCTGGTCCGCCGTGCCGGACCAGACGTGGCCCATCAGCTCGCCCTGTCCGGAGAAGAAGACGAACGGTCGTATCCCGACGTCGAGAAAGTCGATCTCCATTCCAGCGGTGGCCACCTCGTCATCGGCTTGCGCTTCATCCTGGCTCGAGACGAAGCTGCCGAGACCGCCGGCGAACAGTCCCAGCGAGAACATCGCTTGCCGTTCCTTGTTACTCTCCAGCACGACATCCACGATGCCACGCTTCAGGAGGCCGGAATTCACTTCTTGGACGGTAACCAGAGAACCGTTGCTGTCGGGCGATCGCAGGAAGCTCCTGTCGAAGGCAGTGCTGAGGCCTCGCTGCGCTTTCACATGATAATTGTTGACCGTCACGTTGCCACTTGCGTATATACTCCTCAGGTATTCGGCAAATCGCGCGTCTCTCTCGGCAATTTGCGTCAAACGTTGACTTAGGTACTTACGGACTTCGTAGGCCGAGTCGTTGCTATTCAAATATCTCACGAAGTCGTGCAGGGTCTCTTTGGAAGGTTCGCTCTCGAGGATAATATCCAGCGCGATCGTCCGCGCGCTGCTGTCCCTTCGCGGTCCTCCGATCTGATAGAAGACCCTGATGGCCGCGCTCTTCACTTCATCAGTCACAGCTTCGCGCGGCAGAGCCTTCAAAGCGCGCCAGGCGGCGACGCTGATGACTTTGCTGTCGCTTAACGCGTGCACCAGCAACGTGGGTATCGCCGCCGCGCTTCTCAAGTTTCGCAGAGCTCGCAGGAACTTGAGCTTGCACTCCTCTCCGGTGCAGGTCTCCAGGCCCAGTTCTAGGCTAACTCGGGCTTTCTCTATTACCTCGGCGGATCCGTAATGCCGTGCCATCGCGCCCGCCGCGAGCGCGTAGGTCTCGGACACCTTGTCACTCTGCATCGTCTCCTCGGAACGTCTGAGGATATCCTTGGCAACGTCGACGTGAGGCGTCGGCGAGAGGGACAGTGCCCACAGATACCTCTCGGTCTCGTCGCCGGTCTCGTCCTGTCGAAGTATTTTCATGGCAGTTTGATGAGCGGGCAATGTAGACGCGGCGCCAAACACGTCCAGCAGCTGCATCTTTATCTTTTGATTACGCGGAGTCTTTAGGACCTTGTGCAACTCCTCGGGCGAGGCGTTCCTGACTAGAGGTAGAAGCTTGAGAAAGGCCGATGCGGATTTCGCCGTGCCCAGCGCGGAAGCGGTGAGCGTTTTGTGATATTCTTCGATCGCCCGGTCGATCTGCAATGAGATGTATATTTAAGCCTTAATAAGTCAATGCAAAATATAGATATTAAGGTACTTATTAAAAAAATTGAAGCGATAAAAATATCGCATCAAATTTTTGTCAATAGTCATTAATGTAATATTCAATGTCTCATTGGTAGATGTTTACAAAAGAATGTTGATAAAAAAGAACGTTTAATTTTTAAAATAATTTTTTTTTTAAAAGCGTATTTATATATGTAATTTTTTTCCTCAAC